TCTTCACCATGAAAAAATGCCTCTTTGATTTTCACAAAGGCGCTGATAGCTCTTAACTACCAATATTACCCACTGAAGTCTTGGTAAACAACAGAGGCTCTGCCTCTTTTTGCATGAATGATACACCTGAATGTGTCAGTAATTTTCTCACCACTCCACCCATCCATCCAGATGTAAGAGGCATATATTCTAAACTTCTTCCTACCTGTCTTAATGAGGAAGTCAGCAATTTTCTCCTGTTCACAGCACAAGGAAAGGACTGGTTTTAAGGGGCTCTGACGATTAACAGAAGGGTTGCCCATGAAAAGAGGTCAACCTAGGAATCTCCTGTTATCTATCTGAGAGGTTTGTTTACACTTTTTAATCTACGATAGTGCCTTTCTTGTGCTGGAGAAGTGGGAAATGGCAGGAAGAAGGAAGAAATAGGGGGGTTGGTAACTAATTGGCCAAGCAAGAAGCAAAAAAGAAATCAAAAGAACAGAAAAAGAAACCCCCTGAATCCATAATGTGGTTGCTCATACATAATTTTACCTTTGTTACCAGTTGCTCTAAATTTTAAATTAAGCAGCATGAGACTTCTCATCTGGTTGTTCTTAGAGCTAGTCTGCTCTCGTGGTTTGAAGGCACACAAATATTTTCTTGATGTTAAGAACCTGGATGGTTAAGAACATGGACAGTACCTGGATGAACAGCCCTGCAGAGATGGCCAGGTGAGCAACTGGTATCAGTTTCATATTAGAAGCTAAGATACAAAATGAAGTTAAAGCTAATTTCAACAATCCCTTTCCGGTGACATGACTTCATAATTCAGGCTTTCTCGTCGAGTTCAGTAAATGCCTCAGTTGAAGAACTGATGCTTAATTTTTCAATGAGAAGCAACAGGACATCATTAGAGCACAAAAATGGGAGAGGGGGACTCTGCACATGCTCAGAGTTACCTTCCTTCCTAGTTTAGGAGAATTATTTAAAGACATTATATAAAGGACACGCCAGCATCAAAAAATGATTCTCTTATTTGTTGGGTTCAATAATCTGTGAAAGCAAAGATTCAGCCACCCTACTTTCAAAAGTATTTCTTATCGTTTAGCCATGTGAGTAAACCAAGCCGTTCTGGCTTGTTCGGCACAAAGTTGAACAAGTGAAGGTTACACGCAAAGCCAGACACCACCTAGCAGGCAACTCATGGAAAAATGTTGTCAACAATTGTCAAGAAGCTATGCAACTCTTTCAAACTCACAGGCAGGAACTTGTTTAAAGAAAAGAAAAGAAAAGAATCCGAGGCCTGTTGGAAGGCTGCCAGTTCAGCCAATGCTTACTAAGCATATTTGAATAGCCTGCTAAAGCAGGCCATGAGATCGTCCCATTCCATTATTGTCCAATAATGGCTAACTTTTAACCGATCATTGGATTAAATATTGCACCCTGGAGCAATCGCTATTTATTTTATTTAATCAATATATTAGCCACCTTGATTGCTGAAGGAGCTCAAAATGCTTTTTTTTTTTTTAACAAAGGAAAAAATAATTTAAAATTTTAATTTAGACTACAAGCAGCAAATAAAAACCACTCTTGTTCGAAAACAGGAATACAAACATACACCATAAGGAACATAGAACTTCCAGTCCTACCGCCGGTTTAAAAAAAGCCAAGACTTCCCAGTGTTCCTAAAAGGATAACTGAATTACAACTAGATGAGGGATGTTCCACGGGGCAGAGATCGTCACAAAGAGAGGACCTCTCCAGGATCCCCTTGCCCGAATGCCATTGCTTTTCTTTTGCGACCCAGATCATGCCAATCCTGTTAGGAGGGAGTTGAATGCTTCTTCACTGTGCATCTCTCAACCCCTTTAATTGCTATAAAAGGTTACCTGAACCGGAAAACTAAATCCTGGCACAGTCTCTCTAACCACCGGTGCCTTTACTGACTCAACTGGAAACATCCAAGTCCTGTGGGAGGACGTGAAGTGAGACCATTTAATCCTGCTCTCTGGTTTTCAACAAGTCAGTCAGGGAGTTTCTCAACCATATCTGATTGGCCTCTGTTTACCGGTAATATATTATGGTGCTACTCTTCTGGCACCCTTAAAAACCGTGCCAAATTTAACTTGAAAACTCTCATCCCACAAACCCCAAACAAAAACAAGCTCTTATAGAAAATGTTTTTGGGGCGGGGGGCGGAGAGAATCTGAATAATAAAAGAAATACTGATTTTTCCCAAGCCAGCATCCCTGCAACATCTCTTTATGGCTATTACAAGCTAGGTAGGGATTTGTAAGAGTCTATCACAAAAAAACAGAAGGTTTACCACATGCCTGTCCCTTGTATCATCTTTGCTACTAACTTAATGCATGCCTATTTAATAAACAAACTACTCTGCTGGGTAATTTACATTCATCTTGAATGGTGGATCCTTGGGAACTGAATTTGGGACCAACCATAAAAGACTAGATTTCTAAATCTCTCAGCACACTGGGTCACATCTGCACCAAGAAGCCCTGGTGGGGTTGAGCCAGTGGAAATGGAGCATGGGTGGTCACGATGCCATAGTGAGAAGAGTATGATATGTTTATGTCATTTGTTTATTGACTTTGTGGTGAGTCACCTAGGATTAGTGTGTAAGATAGGCTACTATAGACTCCTTATAAATCAATAAACTGCCTTCTATTTAATCCTCTAAGGCATTTATGTAATAGAATGTTAAGAATTTAGGCACATTATACAATTATTGTAACTAAAATAGCTTATTTTATTACAACTGAGAAGATAGAGCAATAGATGGCTTATACAGCTAGATTTAATAATATATTAAAAGAATGAGCCGGTGTTAACATTTTATACATATTCTTTTAGCTTTTAAGAATGCTACTGCTCCCTTATTCATTATCTTCCATCAGAGAGATAGAGATAGAGAGATAGAGAGAGAGAGAGAGAGAGAGAGATGGACCGTAATCTATCATGCTAGATGAGTGCAGGTTGGCACAAGATGTTTTTCTACTTGACAGTTAGGGCAGAGAGGGGGGGAGAGAGGAGAGGGAGGGAGGGAGAGATGATAGATAGATAGATAGATAGATAGATAGATAGATAGATAGATAGGGGGGGAGAGATGATAGTTTATGCTTTCCTAATCTACTTTCTTATTTTGTTCTACTTCTCTTAACCCTATCCTACTCCGAGTAGGAGGTGAACACCTTCACCACTAGCCCACCACGCTACTCAGATATACTCTGTATAATATATATATATATAGATATATAGATGATCTATAGCTGAGATGGAGAGACAGACTTTATTGTCCCTTTGAATGCACACTAATTGGCGTACGTTAAAATGAAATTTCGTTGCCTACTGCTCTCAAAGGGCCACCCGCCTTCCACATATGCTACACCAACATGACACATACATACAAAACCATGCCTATTAACCACATTGCAGAAAAATACGATTTCAGCCACAGGGCAGTCAACGCCTGGAATGCCCTACCCAACTCTGTGGTTTCTTCCCCAAATCCCTATAACTTTAACCTTAAGACTGTTTATTGTTGACCTCACCCCATTCCTAAGAGGTCTGTAAGGGGCGTGCATAAGTGCACCAGCATGCGTACAGTCCCTGTCCTACTGTCCCCATTTATTCATATCCATTTCATGTATTCACAATCATGTTTATACTTATATCTGTTATCTAACACATGCTTGACAAAATAAAATAAAAATGTCATATGACACAAGATAAGAGCACCAGCGTGCCTACCATCCTCGTCCTAATGTTTTCTTTTATTCGTATCCTTTTCATGTATTTATAATTAATGTTTACAAACTATTCTAAAAATACGAGTTCCAGGTATATTAGTAAAAAAAGAAGCAGACATCCTGCGAGCTCCGGAACTTAAAATTTTAAACTTTTAACTAAAAGCTTACTTAAATAAAATTTTAATTATTTTTAAATTTTAACTAAAAGCTTACTTAAATAAAATTTTAATTACGTTTTAAAATTTTAACTAAAAGCTTCCTTAAATAAAATTTTAATTACATTTTAAAATTTTAAAAAGTTCCCGAGCTCGCCGGATGTCTGCTTCTTTCTTTAATAATTATGTTTACATCCATTTCTGTTATCTAATAGGCGCTTGACGAAATAAAATAACATATAAAAAAAATGTCCTATGACACAAGAGAAGCACTGAGGTCTAGGGGAAAACAGACCAACTCCCAACCTCCCCCCCCCCCATAGCAACCACCGAGAGGCTCCTCTTTGCTTCATAATCACCATCCTAAGTTTTTTTGTTTGTCAAGCATATATAATGGCGCAGTCCTGGAAGAAGGAAGATCTACCTACTATTGAAGAATGGACACTAAAAGTAGTGAATTTAGCGGAGACGGCTAAAATTTCAGCATATTTGAAGGATCATTCAAATGAAAGATATATATTGGAATGGAGAAGATGGATTGACTATATTCAAAATAAATATGGGACTAAAAAGTTTCAAATAGCTTATGAGTGGGAAAAAAAAAGATATTTAAGGGAATTCTTATATTTAGTCATGTAAAGGGGAGTTAAAGTGCAAGAGGGAGATAGGAGTTTATAGATAGTCTGCATATGTTAGCTTACGTTTGTTAAATGCTATACCCTGTATTTTGCTCTGGGAAGTCCAGGGGGGGGGGGAAAGGAGGGGGGGAATTGTTTGTAAAAAAAATTTTTTTAAAAACTTTTCAATAAAAAAAAAAGCATATATAAGATAAGAGGGTAAAAGCATAAATCAGGGGTGGGCAACGGTGGCCCTTTGACCACCTGTGGACTTCAACTCCCAGAATTCCTGAGACAGCTTCGCTTCGCTGTCTCAGGAATTCTGGGAGTTGAAGTCCACAGGTGGTCAAAGGGCCACCGTTGCCCTCCCCTGGCATAAATGTACCATTTGAATCCATGAAAGGAGTCAGAGTAAACAAAGGAAGATGAGGACAGGGACGGCTTCCCTCCCTCACGGCCTGGCCCGGGCTCCGCTGACCCACCTGACGTAGGGGCTGGCGGCGGCCAGGATGTTGGTCTGCACCGGGATCTCCTGCCCGTCCAGCACCAGGTTGGCGTCGCAGAAGCGGCCCTCCTGACGGAAGGAGCTCAGCGCCCTCAGCAGCCGCGCCGCGTGCTGCGGGTCGGAGACGGAGCTGCCCGGAGCCCCGCTCGACATGGCGGCGGCGGCTTCGACCCCCCCACCGCGCGCTTTGCGCCTTCGCCTCGACTCGCCCTCACTTCTTCAACGCCGGCCGGGAACCGCCATCCTGCCGCGCCGCGCCGGCGACGCCTGACCTCATCTCCGCGCGACGGAAACACGCCCACCCGGGGGCGGGGCGGCGAGGGAGACGCCGCCCCCCCCTCCCGAGAGGGGAGGGGCGCTCGCTCCCCTCCTCCTCCTCCCCTCGTGGGGGCGGGGCTTCGGCCGCGCCTAGCACGTGCTGCAAAAAAAGAAGAAAAGCCAGAGTTTTCCTCCCCCGCCCCCCCCCCCGACTACAATGCCCCTCGTTCCCAGCCGGGAAGCGGAAGGAGCGAGGCTGGCCTGACTTTTCCTCCTTTTAATGTTGTTGATAACGGAGGGGCCTGGCTTTCTGGATATGCTCAGAAGGAAGATGGGCTGCAGACCTGAGTTTCCAGCCCAATCGGATGTGTGGGACTACAGTTCCCAGGCTTCCCAGCCCAAAAATAGGGTGTCTGGTGTTATGGTTTACTTCCTCTGGAGCAGAGGTCTCCAACCTTGGCAACTTTAAGCCTGGCGGACCAACTCCCAGAATTCCCTGTCCGCCAGGCTTAAAGGAATTCTGGAAGTTGAAGTCCGCCAGGCTTAAAGGAATTCTGGGAGTTGAAGTCCACCAGGCTTAAAGGAATTCTGGGAGTTGAAGTCCACCGGGCTTAAAGGAATTCTGGGAGTTGAAGTCCACAGGCTTAAATCAATTCTGGGAGTTGAAGTCCGCCAGGCTTAAAGGAATTCTGGGAGTTGAAGTCCACAGGCTTAAATCAATTCTGGGAGTTGAAGTCCGCCAGGCTTAAAGGAATTCTGGGAGTTGAAGTTCCGCCAGGCTTAAAGGAATTCTGGGAGTTGGAAGTCCACCAGGCTTGAAGGAATTCTGGGAGTTGAAGTCCGCCGGGCTTAAAGGAATTCTGGGAGTTGAAGTCCGCCGGGCTTAAAGGAGTTCTGGGAGTTGAAGTCCGCCAGGCTTAAAGTTGCCAAGGTTGGAGACCCCTGCTCTGGAGGACGCCCAATTAGGGAAGACTGACAGGGTGCAAAGGAGCAGCGATGTTCTGTGCGCAAGACAGATATGATAAATCACACCAAAATATGGATTTTTTTTCAGGCTAAAAAGCCCAGTGTTGGAATTTTGTTAATCTTCTCAAGGAGGACCCAATGGCTCAGTGATTAAAGACCCTGAGCTTTTCAGCTTGGAGATCTGACAGCCTTGGGTTCAAGATCCCATCTCCATTTCTGCCCACCTAGCAAATTCGAAAGCAAGCAAAGTGCAAGGAGATAAATAGGTAGCACTTCCGATGGGAAGGTAACAGCGTTCCATGGGCCTTTGGGGAAATAACCATGATAGCTACATGACGATAGTCATTGTCTTCGGACAATGTTGACTCTGTTGGCTAAGAAACGGAGATGAGCACCATGCCCTAGAGTCGAATATGATGGGGACACCTTTAACCTTTTCATTCTTCTCAAGGAGTTCCTGTCCAGGAAGATGGGCATTATTACACCACCACTTAACTTACAGCAGGGACTTCTGGGAAGACTCTTTGGCCACAGGTGGAGAAGAAAATAATATGTCACAACACTAAACCCAAATTAAACATCCTCCTGGTTCGGATTTATTCCAGTATTTAGAACATTTGAACCAAGGGCAGTCTTGGGTAGCACCGACGCTTGCAAATGTCTTCACAAAAATCAGAATGAGCCCCATTACTCCATGCATTCCACAAAACGGGCACCAGGCCCAGAAATCTGTTATCGCTAAGTGTCACAAAAGTCTCTGGCAGCATAGTTGCAACAGACTATTGCAACAGACAATAATCAGCCTATATAAGATACTAAAGTTTCCAGATTTGCATTCTTGAGAAGAGTCCAATATCCAGAATTGGGCAATGCTTTTATTGGGGTCAAATTAGTTGGGTTTGGAGATTTCCAGATCTTTTCAGTAGTCATGTTTGGTGTGTACTGTTCATTCACCTACTTGATGAAATCTCAAAACTGAATGACATCTCGCTGAGTCAGCTCCCATCTATTTAAGCCAATCTCTTCTCCTGATAGCAGAAACTTGCAATCTTTTATTGCTTTTCCCTTTTTTGATGAAATTTATAGAGAGATCCCAAACACACTTTGTTCATCATCATCATCTTTTAATCACCCCATAATCCCTTGCGGGATGGAATTTGGGCAACTGATGGAGCCGAGTGTTTCCTGGCCAGATGCCTTTCCTGTCGCCAATGCGGAGTTATATTCAGCAGATATATTCTCATCGTGCCCAGATGTGTCTCTACCTAGGATTGAACTCACAGTCTCCTGATTGTTAGGTGAGAGTTCCACCACTAAGCCACTGCACCGTTCTCCCAAAAACACTTTGTTGCCCCTAAGAAAAGTATTGGCTGGTCATGGATATATATATATATTTAATGGAATAAACTTGACTACAGTTTCTGGTAATCTCCTCCAGCAAAGCTTTTGTTGTTGTACTCATTCATTAAATTTGTGTGACATCTATCTCACTATCAAGTGATTGGGTGGTTTACAGTGCTATGATAGCATAATAAAACAAAAAATTAAAAACACTAAATCATTGGGACCTTAAAGTTAAAACATTAATATTCAAGCGGATAAAAAGAATCAATGCATAGATGAGGTGGAGTTGAGATCTATTAACCAGCCCTCTAAAATGGGATTCCTCCAAGCCAGTTAGGGTAGTTGTATGCCAATCTTCCAACTTTCTATTTTATTCTCTCTAATTTTAGTTTGATAAGGCTCTCTTTTCGTGGGGGGGGGGGCGCGGAGGAAGCATTCAGAGTGGTTTAGAAGTAAACAAACAGAATGTCCTTAAATAAAACTGTCAACAATAATAAACCAATTTTTCTAAAATAAACGCAAAAGAAGACTGGCTATTTAAAAGAAAAAAAAACCAGTGTAATAAAAAAAAGAGAAAATCATCCTTGAGTTTAGTGCTTAAATGGACAGTATGATTTTCTTAGCAATCTCGTCTTGTCTTGTGGTCAGAAATGCAGGAACTACCGTAGAAAGGGGGGAAATATTAATTTAATTTTTAAGAAATTAAAAACTTTCATAAAAACATAAATGTATATAATTCTAGCCCAAAGCTGGGCCATATTGATGGCAGGGATATTTCTGATCAGCAAGTCATTGTGTCTGTGTGTTTGTCCCAGGGGACACTGTAAAATATGGATAATTGTTGGAATAGTGTCATATTTACAACAATATATTGGCAATAATATAATAGTTGGCCAGGATTCTCTTCTCCAGAAGATTTTTCAATTTCACATCTTGTTTACGCCCTGGGTTTGCCAATGGCCTCTCATAAGGTACAAGCATGTTTACGTTCCAAGCCCAAACAAAGCTGACATCATAAAAGTATTTATTTTATTAAACATGTAAGGCTTTCCAACTCTAGATTGACTCCAGGTGACATATATAATAAAACCATTACTAAAACACAGAAGCTATCTGAAAACAATATATTGCATAGAATCCATTGACCTTCAACTCGTGTTTTTCAAACGTGGCAACTTGAAGATGTGTGGATTTTAATTCCCACAATTCTCCAGCTAGCTATGTTTGAAAATGCTTGAACCAGGGTTTGAAAATAAAACACTAGTTTAAAGTGAAGCCGGAGAGATGAGCCTAATTTTCAGAATATAGACCGCTTCTGGACTGCTAAATCTTGAATAATTTTGAGAGATTGGATAGTTGCCTTTTTCCCCCTCGATTTATTTTTTCAATCTTACTTTTACTTGTTTTCTTCCTCTCCCTTATGTGTTTATGGCTTTGACTTACGTTTTTTTTTTAATGTGTATTATCTTAACTGGCCATCATTGTTATGTTGTTGTTAGTTGCAAAGTCGTGTCCGACCCATTGTGACCCCATGGACAACGTTCCTCCAGGCCTTCCTGTCCTCTACCATCCTCTGGAGTCCATTTAAGCTCACGCCGACTGCTTCAGTGACTCCATCCAGCCACCTCATTCTCTGTCGTCCCCTTCTTCTTTTGCCCTCAATCGTTCCCAGCATTAGGCTCTTCTCCAGTGAGTCCTTCCTTCTCATTAGGTGGCCAAAGTATTTGAGTTTCATCTTCAGGATCTGGCCTTCTAAAGAGCAGTCAGGGTTGATCTCCTCTAGGACTGACCGGTTTGATCGCCTTGCAGACCAAGGGACTCTCAGGAACATCATCTTATACCTTCTACATAAATTTGTGACCAGTTGTAAAGCCTTTACAAAACGAGTAATTTTAACAGCGGCTTCTTCGGAAAACCTCTGCCACCCGGAGCCTTGCAGAAAACAATATTTGGACAAAAACAATCTTGGAGGTGACAAACTGGCTTGTGAGATTTGTGAAGCTAAAAGCGCAAGCTCTGTTGATCAACACTATCTGAAAACATAGGCGTCTGTAGTGAATAGGGGAAAGTGTACCAGGTAAGCATGAAATAATTGCAGAGGACGTGAGTTATGCAAATGTTGTCAATCATCACACAATTTGCCTGATGATATCATGGCACATGTGACTTTATCTTGGCTTCTTTGCCCAGAAGCAAGACTCTGTATTCTTTCTTTGCTGTGTTATTAGTGTTCATTTGAGGTACGTTCTAGCAAATCTCGAATTACGAGGGAATGTCTGATTCAATGCTTGGCTTAGGAATTGTTTTCAGCATCAAAGGGGGAATTCACAATTGATCCAACACCACCTCCACATCCTCCTCCAGGTGTCCAGCTGTGGCTTCATAAGATAGGCTGACAACTTCTCCCACATCCCACTGCTATAATAAACTGCTGAGTCAGACAAGGCTCACTTGTATTATGCCAGAATGGGTGAAGCTTAGCACACTGGGTGAATGCAGCTACGGCTTACAGCTTATGGTTTCCTACCATAACTTGTTTGTTCAACCACGAGAAGCCCAACTCATGGCTTGGTGCAAAGCGAGAACCGTTCCTAGTCCTTCGGCCAATTTCTTAGCCTGAGATTTTTTTTTCAATAGTTCCATTTGTGACCAAGAATAG